CAGTGAGAACAATAGGACAAGGATCATAAATTCAAATTTTGGCAGCGCAGGAGTCGTCTGCAGTTTAGACAGTATTAGTTTTCAAACAGGGTAGTTGGCTTTTGGAATGAGCTGCCTTCAGTGATGGTGGTAGAGGCAGAAAATTTAACTGAGTTCAAGAAAGGATTGGATGAATACATGAGAAGTAAGGGGTGGTTATAGTTGGGAGCTGGAAGGGACATCCTTGATGGGTTAATAAGGTCCTTTTTCTCCATTTAAAATTTTTATGAACTTGTCAAATTGCTCATAAATGTCAATAATACTTACCTAGTGGGTTTGTTTGTAGTTAAGCACAAAGCTACACAGTGGGCTATCTGAGCTCTGCCCATCACGGGTATCGAAACCCGGTTTCTAGCGTTGTAAGTCCGCAGACATACCGCTGTGCCACTGGGGGGGCTACCTGGTGGGAGGCATGAACTTAACATTTTCATTAAAGCTGATATACTGTCGAAAACGAAGTTTCATAAGAATGTTGTCATTTTGGACGCCCCCCCAAGTGGCACAACGGTATGTCAGTGGACTTATAATGCTAGAAACCGGGTTTCGATACCCGTGGTGGGCAGAGCACAGATAGCCCATTGTGTGTAGCTTTGTGCTACATACAAACAAAATCATTTTGGACGCATATTTTAATATTAAAGTATTACAGTTTATTACAGTTTTTGCTGAGTTTAAAAATGAGCTAAACAGCTTGAAGTGTGTATCTGTAAAAATATAAATTTTCTTACACTTGTTGCAGTAGATTTTAAATCAAGAGAACGAACTTGGTTTGTTTGGATATTCACAAAGCTACAGAAGCGCTTATTTTCACTTGTCGTTTTTACTTTTGAACTAATACGTAGTCTAGCCGAAAGACTGCACTCACCGTTAACTTTTGAGCTCCTCTTATTGGATCGTGAGATTTGACCGTCACTATTATAACGCATCTACGGCTCCAAAATGCGGAGCGCGAATCGTTTCACCCTAACCACTTAGCCACGACCGCCCGAGACAGAATGAAATATAAACTTGAAATGTACATCCTGTTTTAATTGTAACACTATCATGTGAAACAAGAGTGCTAAATCTCTCCGTTAACAGGTACAAAGGTCTGCAAATAAACTAGATTTGTCTATCTATGTATAACAGAGTTGTCTGTCTGTCAGGTGTCACAAAGTGTTGTGAGGAACGAAACAAACCAATCTGATGAAATTTGCAGGAGGAACTCAGTTGGATCCCCATGAGATAATTTTAAATGGATCAGCAAATGAACGATTGTTTCGAGCTTTGTGGCCATTTCAACATTGCCGTCTTAAGGCTGTGAATGAAGGCTCAACAGAACAAAGAGGTCAGAAGTAAACTAAAAGTAGCTGATGCCAAACGAAAGTGACGTTTGATGCTGAGCATAGCACGGGTACCTTTACATCGGACGAATGGCTCTTTTTCTACAGTTTAAACTACATAATCGTGTATTTAGTACTTCACGACGTAATGTGTAAAGCACCAGCGTAAATCTAAATTAATGTCCATATTAACGAAATAACCATATTAGTTAATGCCACACAAATAACATCCACTTGTTACATTTCTGTGCGGCCTGAAAGTACGTGAACGAGCCTACAAATTCAAAATGCCGATTCAGCTCGTACATAGTACAGCGGTTAGTGGTAGCTAACTTTTAAAATAGATGTAAAGACCCACTCTCAGAGATCACATCCACGTCGTGCAAGTGCAAAACAATATACACCTTCTATTTTCGTACCCAGACTTACAAAGGGAAGACGTAAGGAAAATATGGGGTGTTTAAAACTAGATCCTTTTCCAAGATTGTGAGAGTACAGTTGAAAAAAAGAGGTGTTTAGCAAGTTTTTTTATGTTTAACATTGTACATTTATCACAGATAATAGTCATTTTAAAAGAATGATATTTTTGAACTCTTTACATAATTTTCAATGGGTTTGTTTGTTTTGAATTCCGCGCAAAGCTACACGAGGGCTATCTGCGCTAGCCGTCCCTAATTTAGCAATGTAAGACTAGAGGGAACGCAGCTAGTCATCACCACCCACCGCTTACTCTTGGACTACTCTTTTACCAACGAATAGTGTGATTGACCGTGACATTATAACGTCTCACGGCTGAAAGGGCGAGCATGTTTTCAATAGGAAATTTAATGAAGAAATGCATCGCGGCGTAAGTGTTAAAGATCCCCCCCCCCAACCACCAGTATAAAAAGTAATTGGGCCTATTACATTTATTTTCCTATAAATGTAGTTACGATTCTGGCTGACTGGGGCCTCCTTTTAAGTCGCTACTCCCCGCAATTGCGGGGGCATATTTACGCCACTGTGACAATGGCAAAGGTGTGTCTTAAATCAATGAGACACTTATTTTTATTTTTATATCTTTGTATAGTGTATTATTGAGGATGAGCAAGCTGTGTTGAAAGATATTTTAAAAATTGGACACCAACTTAGGTTATATTAACATCGAATCGGAAATAACTTATATTAGCGATAAGCTATCAGTAACCAGAAACTGATCCTGACAATGATCTGTTAGCATGTCACCGATATTAACCAGGAACTGAACGTGTCAACGATCTATTCTGCCAGTAGTAACCAGAAACTGACTCTGTTATAACCGGGAACTGAGTCAGAAATTCAGAATATGTAAGCTTGATAATTAATAACAAGAAACAACGATTTACTTGTGTGTACGTGTAGAAGTGTGGAATAATAATAAAAGATACATGTTTTATAAGTAATTGTTTCTTTATTTAAAAATTCATGCAGAACTACACAAGGGCTACATGCACATAGCTGTCACTAATTTTGACCTTACAGGCTAAAGAGAAGGAGGGAAGGCAGCTAGTAAACAGCACTCACTGTATACTTTTGGGCTACTCTTATGTGATCAATAGTAGAATTTGACTGTTACTCTTATATCGTACCCACGGCCCCAAAATGCTGGAACCCGTTTTTGTGGTAACAAGACGGGAAACTAATCGCCTCACTTCATAGACTGAGTAAGTTAACCACTAGGCCTTGTCCGGCATTTTGTTAAAAGAACAATTGTTTTCGTTTGCACATTTGTATGTGTGTATATATATATATATATTATCCTCAATTAATAACATTAAAGTAGAAGGTAATGATACCTAAAAAACTAAAGCATGTGTAGGTTTCAACATATTTTCGCACATATGTGCACAATAAATTGTTGTAGTATTACGCATGATTGTAGTAAAAATGCAAGATTATGCGCGTGCTGCATTCACATAATACAAATACCGATAGTTATAAAAGGATTGCTCGTAATACACATAGCTAACGAAAAAAAAAGGCACACTGTCAACATAGTCATCGTAATGGCGCGCCACTATAATTTCTAAAGTTGTAGCGCCTGATTTTGTTTGAAATTACGCACAAGACTACACAATGGACTATCTGTGCTCTGCCCACCACTGGTATCGAAACCCGGTTTCTAGCGTTGTAAGCTCGCACACATATCGCTGTGCCACTGGGGGGGGGGGGTACTCTGATTTAAAAAATTGATAGTTCTTTACAAACGTGGTCTTAGCTCTGATGTACAGTAATTTAACTTTATGAGACCCTTAACAGGAAATATATAAGTAAACATTAATGATGACAACGAAAAAACTTGAAGTGATTATATATATATAGTAGAGACGGCTGATTAAAATAAAATCAAAGTTTTAACATCCACATGAGCCATCTATATATATATATATATAAGTAAACATTTCGGATGAGTTTTTGTGATGCTTTCCTTAACATTAACAGAATTGGTTTGGATTTCGCGCAAAACTACACGAGGGTTATCTGAGTTAGCTGTCCTAATTTAGCAGTGAAAGAGTAGAGAGGAGGCACATAGTCATCCCCCCTCACCACCGACTCTTGAGCTACATTATAACGCCCACACGGCTGAAAGGGCGAACATATTTGGTGAGACGGGGATTCGAACCCGCGAGCCGCAGATTGTGAATCAAGCGCCCTAACCATCTGGCCAACATTACAAGAAAAACAAACCATCTGAGTAATGTGTTTACACCAACACAAAGTGTGTAGGGAAGAATTTATAAAAGGTTGAAAAATTTTGGTTTGTTTGGAATTTCGCGCAAAGCTACACGAGGGCTATCTGCAGTAGCCTTCCCTAATTTAGCAGTGAAAGACTAGAGGGAAGACAACTAGTCATCACTACCCACCGCCAAATTTTGGGCTACTCTTTTACCAACAAATAGTGGGATTGACAGTTACATTATAACGCCCCTACGGCTGAAAGGGCGAGCATGTTTGGTGGGACGGGAACGACCCTCAGATTGCGAGTCAAGCGCCCTAACAACCTGGCCATGCCGGGCCGGTTGAAAAGTAATACGAATGATAAAGTCAGCATTACCCAAAATCACAAGCAAGAAAGACAAACAAACAAACAGAACAATAACGAAACCGTTTACAGTCAACTACTGGCAAAATTTAAGTGGTGATCTCATGAAACAACCACTTAAAACCCACGTTAAGGAGAAAAAAAAAGTCAGCTTCCTATCTATAGAAATTTTAAGGTTGGTGGTAAGCAGCTTTTACTTTTTCAGAAATGTTTCTAATTCGGATTACCTACCCGCGTAATAATAAGTATTAATAACAAACTAACTAATATTACACCAGAGTCTACATTGACTTATTTCGTTTTTTACTATATTCATAACTTTATTTAGACCAAGATACCAGTAAACATTTCTTTAAAACGAAACACATTCCTTTTTTTAAATCATGATGATAAGCAGCGCCCCCTAGTAACTTTCATTAGTAATTCAGCCGTATTTGTTTTAACAAACTGTTGAAGAATTGTGTTACTTGGAACCTTCTATGGTTAAAATGGAAGTAGTCAATATTAAGGAAAATGGAAATCACTATGTATGGGTAATTAAAATTCTGGCGCCAGTCTTTAGAATTTGCTCGAAGTTCCGTGACCACTGCGACTCTGCACTGCGCAATGTGTCGTAAGTGTGGGAATGTAATTAACATTACAGGAAACGGGTGCTAAGAGCACAAACAGAGGAATAAAATGAACTTGTTATTTTCATACCAAAGATTTTTTATCTTTATATGGTAATAAACTGGAAGAAGTCTAATTCATTTAAAAAAGTATATCGGAAAGACAAAATAAGTTTTAGATCTGATAGCAGAGCGTAGAATAATGTAAGAACACGAAATCAGGATAACATTTAACAAGACATTCATCAATATACCAGAAAAAAAATATGTAGAAAGCATATGTTATAAAAATTATCAACCAATATTAATAATTGTTCAGGCAAGATTTTCTAATCATCAAATAACGTTAGGTATAAAGTTTAATTTTGGGCATAGCGGTTAGCGTCTTCGGACTTTCATTTCGAGGTTCGTGGCCTGTTTCGCAAAATCGTGCTCCACTCTATGGGGCCGTGTGTGTGTGCTCAGAGTGAGAGTCAAATCCCACCATTCAGCTACACAAGAATAGCCCAAGAATTGGCGGTGGGTTCTGTCAACTAGCTGCTTTCTCTCTAATCAGTCAGTTCAAAGTTAGGGACAGCAGATAGCACTTTGTGTAGTTTTAGGGCAAAGATTCTGAAACCAATATTTTGTTGCTAAAATTTTATTTTTGTCGATGAACCGTTTCTAGATTTGGAATTAATGTATCAGTTTGTTTTTTGTGTAAAAAAATATAGATTAACAACTGAAAAATAAGAAACTAAAATTTATTATGGATATGGAAAAAGTAATCTAATCATTTAGAATTACGCGAAGTTTATACCTAAGGTTTCAGTATGGTATTTTAAATTAACCTTTCTTTTTTTTTTTCCTCACCTAAAGGACGTTAAAGCATGTCGACTCTTCGACACAAACACCTCTATATGTTCCACAAATTCTGGGGTAAGTAGTTGATTTAATTAATGTTTTAAGTTTTTCAGTGTGTGTAACGCGAAAGTATTTTGTTCATACAGAAGCAGCAAAAATGTATTATTTATTTACTTTTTTCTGATATTTATCTTCTAAAATATGTTATCAGTTTCTGTTTTTAAAAGACTACTCACGCGGTAGCCAAGCGAGATACTTTGTATCAGTGATGCTCGTTCATTGGATATGTAAAGATGAAAAATCTTAAGAAACTGGATCCATAAAAATCAGAAAATATGTTGAACTTGATTTTAAAGGCACGTGTGTAAACAACATAAACCTTAGAAATCATATGACTTTTGTGAAGAAAACTTGAATATCGTGACGATTCAAAGTCAAGGTTTCAGATTACCTCGAAATTTAGCCGTTTTGCGATTACCTTTCAATTTTATTTATATGAGTGGTATCATACCGGTTTTGCAGAAAGATCTTCATTTTGACGCAGAGCATTACATGTTTGTTTCAAGGACGTTTTACTCATTATTTGTAGCATCGACAATAAATTATTATTTTAAGTCCAACGATTGACTAAAATGACCCTCGCCCGCTTTGCGTTCACACCTGGTGTCACCAATTGTTACTACCACTTCAGCCTTCAGTCAGTGGCGTAGCAAGAGGGGGAGAAAGGGGGGCAGTCGCCCCCGGGCGCAGGTGTGAAGAGGCGCAAACTTTCCTATTAATTAATAATTGTGCCCTCCCCTAGGATATAGCGCAACTGCCCTACGTTAAGTAAATACGACACAGTGTTACGTTATTTGTGTGTATTATGCTTGCAGTTTTAACTTTTAAAAGCCGCCCACTGAAATACAGTTAGAACGAACTGACGTACAGAAGTAAATTACACTATTCCATCATTCATCTGCAGATCAAATACAAGTCCTAGAGTACAACGTACAAGTAAGTGTATGTTCAACAAAAAAAAAATAAAAAAAATACGAGATTGATGTAACATATTAACTGATGTGCAAGACTGGCAATATATGCAACAGGCAAGGCCTAGATCTAGATCTAGTAAACATTACAAGGCCTAATGTAGTGGTTTGTAATTGTATTGGCTGATTGTAAATCATGTCTTACACCAACTAATGTACTATACTTGAAGTCTAATTGCAGTTATAACTTTATTTCTAGACCCTAGGTCCATTATCATGCAAATTGTAGCCTATATTATAGGCATACTTAGACCTATACTAACTATTAAACTAGGCTTTGCACTAGGACAGATCTAATGACTAAGTTAATAAATCTAGATGTAACATTTGTTCTAAATGTTACGCC